TTCCTTCAATACAGTCAGTAATGGTGTTCCACAGTGGGCAGGTTGTCGCACATCCTTTCCTTTGAGATATTTTCCCTCTTCCTTATTTCTCCATCTGTCTCATCCTGGTAGGACCATTAACCCATACATCCAATACAGGCCACCTAAACACTATCTGTCTTCTGCCAATGGAAAGAAGGATTGGATGGAGGGAGCATTGAAGAGGATCAATGGCTCCCCTGACTGTCAGTCTGCTCACTTGATTTCACATCCATCTACCACCATCATCTCCTCCTCCTCTTCCTCCTCCTCCTCCTCTGTGCTGTCTTCTGTCTTCTTCTTGTTGGGAACACTTTGATCAGAAAGGTTTTTTTGGCCTTGACGCAAACAATCTACCACATTACTGCTAAGCAGCTAACTGTCATTCCTCTGCAGTGGCAGTCAACACAGTCCAATATTATATTCGAAAAAGTGTCCAACTAAAGCTTGTGGCTGGCTGTGTGTCTACGTGTGCCCTGCGATTGGCTGGCAACCAGTTCAGGGTGGCCCTTACCTACTGTCAGATGACGGCATCCACGACATTCGTGAGGATAAGCGGATTAGAAAATGGATGGCTGGATAGCTTTAAGGGATGTTCGATACCCTTCCAGCTGATAACACTATGTGTATTCAACTCATAAGTAGTCATCGACACGGATACCAAATACTGTACCGAGACCACTGGTACTTTTGATCCATAAAATTTCCCCCCGAGAAACGATGAGAAATAATTTTAAAGAAAGACCTATAAATGTCAATACGTACAGCATTTTTTAAAACTTGCATGAAATTAACGTCACTTATCTATTCTTCTCATTTCTAGTTCGTTCCTGTTCATAAAACAGCCAAACCAGTATCAGCCATTGTAAAGAGTACATATACCTTCAAATAAAGGTGAGGTAACAGCCTGATATGATTGTGACAAACAATTGTACAAAAGGTCTATTATTATAGAAATAAAGAGCTATTTTGGACACGATCAGAAGGCCTATTTGTCATTTTCATATTTTTTGGTGGAAAAAGGTGTGTGTAGGAAATAAAAGGTATAAGATTATGAGAATACATTTGCATTTTGTGTTCTTTCATTCTTTGTTAAACTTTGATTTTGATTTCAAATTATTACATACAAAGTTTATGAAATTATGACTTTTGACTTTTTATCCTGACATGTCTTTTTCTATAATTTTTTTTTCTATTTTATACCACATTTTTTTCTGCCTTAAACACGTTTTAATTGCTACATTTAGGGGTACATGTGGTCATTACATTTATCATGGGGATTATAAGGTGTCCATGGGGGATAAAAAAATACATGAAAAATGTCTTCTGTAAATTGTCCACGGTCCCGAACATTTTGAGAATCCCTGTATTAAATGCACTACAATTTTAAAGTATTTTTTATGCACCAGTATGAAAAAAATAGTCCATAAGTCAGCTTTCAAGTAGTGCCCTACTTCCCCATGCACGCACGCACACATACACACCCTGAAATTAAATGACAATTAATAAAATGCAGGCGGTTTGCTGACATAATAGTTCACACATCTGCCTCATGTTCCAAAAAATTCCACATTAGAGAATAGACAACATTTAAAATGAAACCTCAAGAGCTTAAATCTTTTCGTTTTGTGAGTGTGACATTATTAGTTTATCTTCTTTTTAGGAGACAAGTTGCATTGTTTGCCCCTTGGCTACCTGGGGGAAGTATAATACAGATACATGGATACACGGTACATGAAGACAGACTTGTGTTCCTCAGTAAGCCACAAAAATGTTAGTCTTTCTATGCAGAGGATATAGCACATATGCCTGTGAATGTGAGTGGTTGTTTGTTAATTTGTGCCCTTTTGCCAAACGTCAGCTAGGATATTTTAGATTATATAAACAGGGTGGATGTTTTTCACTACTGTGTTAAGATGGAAAATGGAATGTACACATAAACACACGCAATCACACATGCGGAAACTGTCATATCAAAGGTTACCTCACCGCCAGTGTCATGCACACATGCACGGGCCGTACCCTTCTCGCATTTCCTTTGACACGCTGTAATAGATTCCGCGGCAGCTCCACGCCGTGGCTAAGTGGCCTCACCTTTCACTGAAAACAAATCACTCACCCCGCTCAGCCTCATTGTTTCTCTCTCTCTCTCTCTCTCTCTCTCTCTCTCTCTCTCTCTCTCTCTCTCTCTCTCTCTCTCTCTCTCACACACACACACACACACACACACTCACACACACACACACACACACACACACACACTTTTCATTTGTGACCTTCCGTTTTTCGGCCTCCCAAGGGTGCTCTCTTCTTCCTCGCCATCACTTGGCCTGCCATCCTTTGAGTCTTATCACATCCCCTCCTCTTTTTTTGCTTGCATTCTTTTTTTTTCTAAATGCATTTTTCCTTCCCTCAGACAAAATACATTATTTTGAATGGACACTAGATCGTAATGATAAGGATGAACGTAGTTGTCATTTTTGGGGAAGCTTGTACTGGACAAAGAAGAACCTTGTTTGGTCAAATTAACAACATGTAAGAATACATTTAAAATTGACCATAAAATGTGGTCAGGTATTATCAGTGGGAGAAGAAATGAAGTCCAAATACCTTAGTAGATTTTTCAGGTGTCTGTATAGGCTACTACTTGAGTATTTCTTTTTCTTATGTTTCAGTTCCAACATTACAAAACAGATTTATGGAGTTTTAATCCTGACTTGGTCAAAATTAGCTCGTTTCTTGAATCAAGTCAATCAAGTACTGTACTTCAGTCAATTTTAGTCAACATTCTTTTTACTTTTAATTAAGCGCAGGAGTTGCATAAGTACTTCCACTCTGACCTTTCACAGTAAGTAGGACTATCTGTGCTTTTACTGAAGAACACAGTGTAAGTCAATTTCCAAAAAAATGTAATGAACAGTTCATGTGGGGTTTTTTAATGGTCATTTCATTAAAATCAAATGGTTAATTACATAAATGAATATATTTTGCATTCTGAGAAAGGCCCTGTGTCCAGAATCAAACAAATGACCTCAATTAAGTGCTTTTGCTTGTGTTCTAACCCTCAAGTGGTTGTCCGTGGTTTGGACATTGTAAACAACAAGACTGCCCTCTTGTGGTGCGGGTGTGCATGGTGTGAGTGTATCTTGCCTTCGACTTTTTTAATGCCTTTTTACCGGGATAATGTGTGTTTATATACAAGAATATAAAAAAAGATCATTCGAAATATAGAGGCAAATGTGAAAAATGTCGATTAAATGCTTAATTGGAACGACAATAAAGTCAGTGACAATAGGAAGTCCAGTTTGGGACTGTTGAAAACGTAATTTCGAATGTGTTGCAGGCTAACGAAAGCACATACAAGTAACTGAGTGCGAAGTGGCTGATGGGCGACAATTTTGTGACTAAGACTGCATGACTTGACAATTTCGGTACAACACATCTAAATTTGACGCACCACAGAAAAGAGTTTCCAAAAAAACGATTCCATCCATCCATTTTCCGATTCCGTTTATCCTCACGAGGGTCGCGGGAGGGTGGGGTGGGGGCAGCTGCCGGAGCCTATTCCAGCTGTCTTCAGGCAGTAAGCGGGGTACACCCTGAACCGGTTGCCAGCCAATCGCAGGGCACATAGAGACGTACAACCATCGGCGCTCACACTCACACCGAGGGACAATTTAGAGTGTTCAATCAGCCTGTCATGCATGTTTTTGGAATGTGGGAGGAAACCGGAGTACCCGGAGAAAACCCACGCAGGCCCAGGGAGAACATGCAAACTCTACACAGGGTGGCCGGAGCTGGAATTGAACCTGGTACCTCTGCGCTGTGAGGTTGACGCGCTAACCACTGGACCACCAGGCCACCTGTTTCAAAATAATAAACAACTAAAATCAAAGTATGAATATACTTCAATGTTTGAGGGGTGTCCTCCTGGACCTTCTCCATTTGGAATTTGCAGTTGTGAGGCTACATAAATATGGGACATATTGAATTTGTGTTCATTATTCTGTTTTTGGCCCAATTTTTATTTGGTAGCATTTTTAAAAACAGTTTTCTAATTTAAAAACCTGTTGACCCCCCCACCCCTTTCTTTTCAGAGTGCAAGGATTGAATGTGTGGATGTTCACAAGCAAAATTCTCTTTCCCCAGCAACTGACATGCGTGCGGGCACACGTGTACACACACGCACACACACACACGCGCACACACGCATGCAAGTGCACACATACACGCGCGCAGACGTATGTTCAATTTATCAAAATCATTTATCTTTTTTTCATGCGGGGGGGAAATGCTTATTTTGGGTACCAAGATCGTCACTCCCTTCAAATTCCTATCTGTGACATTAATCAGCACAAAGAGTCACCCTTTCCTGTCTTTTGTGTCTTTTGGACAAGTTGTCCTCTGATGTGCATCACACTTCTTTTTTTGTGTGTGCGTGTGTGTGTGTGTGTGTGTGTGTGTGTGTGTGTGTGTGTGTGTGTGTGTGTTGTGGCGGGAATGAGGACCGTTTTGGTTTAAAACGAACCCTGTTTAGTGTGCATTAGTGTACAAGTTGTGTTTTAACAGTTTGAATGTACTGTATTTGTATTTGCCGTGTGTGTGTGTGTGTGTGTGTGTGTGTGTGTGTGTGTGTGTGTGTGTGTCTCCTCATGCGTCAGAGGGTCTTTCTGTTACTGTGCTCCTGAGCAAACATATTAAGAACTAACTAATCACTGCTTCCACAGCCCAAGGTCATACACACAAATACACGCACACACACACAGACACGCACGCACACACACACTAAAGCCTAAGCACACATTTACAACACGATATTGGATCTCAAAGCTGGCTGCCAAAGTCCCCAAATGTCACCAATCTATTGAGAAGCAAGAGGCGGAGCAGCTTGAGCCGATTGGTCGACCCAGATTTACTGCTCGGTTGTCCCAACACAGAATTTTAAAAAGGCAAGTTTTTCGAAGAGGAGACGAGTGCCGCCGACAAACTCTTGACAAGCCTTCTTCTTTAAGAGGCGCATCTCCGAAACTTGAACAGGCAGTAAGGATAGAGAAGATTCATTCAGACAACTAGAAAACTATTTAAATATATCGCTGCGTGGACGAACACCGAATCTTGGTTGAAACAGCACCTTTTTCTTTTGAAAATCTTCAATTTTACATCTATTTTTGAGGAAAACACAGATTGAAACACACACACAAAATGATGATGACCAATGGACCATCTTCAAAATAAGACAAAACCAAAGAATCCGAAGACACACCAAAAACCTCAATCGTCTTTTCATTTTTCGGCCTTCCTAAGTCATCAAAGAGATCAACGATGCTTTGTCGAGCTACAAAATTGCCGTTCATTCCTGTTATGATGCTGATTATCACCACCCAAATCTGGGCAGCACCGACAGAGAGAGGTAAAGCAGCTTTTTCAGGTCGTTAAACGGTTGCTAAACATCAATGTTGTTGTTGTTGTTTTGACTAATCTTTTCCAATGTTGTTAATTCTAAAACTGAATTTATCTTGTTTCATCAATTCTCTGGAGTTTAAAAATCACAAGTGCGTGTATATAAATTGATGACAAGACCAAGAAATTGAGGATTAAGGTAGAACACATGATATCAGAGCAAATCCCCACATAAAATTCAAATAGAACCTCATGACTGTTACTGACAGAGAAGATGAGGTTCAGAAAAATCTGATTGAATGTTTTGTGTGTGTTATTGTCTCACATTTAACGGTTTTGCAGAATATTTAACCCTTTGATGAGGGCTGCTTGGACCATGGAAAGTTTTTGCTCACATATATTTTTTTTCTTTAAATCGGGGATCTGCAATCCTGTCCCTCCCTTGTTCCAATTTGATCTTTGAATCCAGCTAACTCAAGTGTCATGAGACAAATGAATAGCTTTGACAGTTTTCATCGTTCTGATGGAAGGACAGAAACGTTTGGATGTCAGTGAGCTCAGCCACTTTGCAATAGATATTTTTCATATAGCTACAGGATTCTTGTTTTTCACAACACAAATGGATTTAGTTCGTTCATTATTTATTGAAGAGGTAGACTAGCTTGGTATGAGACCGAAAATTCCATCTCACAGTGTGGCACTTGAGTCTCTGTGGCTCGGTGCGACAGTCAGCATTTCTAGCTGGGGAAATAGAGCGGATGTGAAGAAAAGTGGGGACAGAAAGCAAACCTTTCACTTACTGAGTCCGAGTCACTGGAGGCCGTCAATCCAGGTGAGACGACGGCAGAATATGTGCTCAAACAGGCAGGGAAAGCAGAGCGGGAGGGAGATAGATGAGGAACCGGTGAGGAAGAAACTGGGAGATCAGTCCTCCAAGGAATGTTGGAGAGATTTGCATGAAGGTGACAAGGAATCTGGCAGTGAGGTCGAGCTGTGTGTATATGATCCATGCATATGGTTTCCATACTGCTTATCCTCTTCTGGATAACGGAAAGCTGGAGTCGATCCTCACTAACTTTGGCCAAAAGGGAAACTACACCATGGACTAGTCATCAGGCAAACAGTGTGACTATACAGTGATGCCTGTACATTGATACGAGTCACCAGACTTGCGGGTTAGTCAAGATATGAACCGTTGTTCAAGTTGTTTCTTGCCAGTGGAAGTGTACTGTCAAATTAAACAGCAACAGAATTGCACTTTGTTTATTTAAAAACAAGGAAAGGCAGCTTTATTTTTATCACACAATGTGCTTCACGTGATAAAAAGTACAGTTAAAAGTATTTGCAATCAATAGAGTTAAAGACATTTAACAGCAATGTAAAGAACTAAAAGCAGTTCACTAAAATGACTAACAGAGTGTAAGAAAATGATTTTAGAAATGCTCTAAAAAACTTTAATCATACATATGGGAAAAGAGCGTCGTTTTGAGCCTGGATGTTACAAACATTCACAATTGGGGCTGACTTCACTTCAGTTGGCATCTTACCATGTCCATGCAGCATAACGGCTAAATGCTGCCTCACCTTCTTTGCTTTGAATGCTGGGTTCCACTAATCGATGCGGGTCTGCAGCCCTCAGAGCCCTATTGGGTTTACATTCCATTCGCATTTCTTTAAACAGGAGCCAAACCAGTCAGCGATTCATAGACCAGTAGCCGAATCTAAAATATATTCTACAGCTAGCCAGTTTAAGGCCTTTAGTATTGGAATAACATGTTCTGATCTCTTTGTTTTAGTCAGAACGCATAACTTAGCCTTTCAGTCCACTAGCTTAGTGCTATGTTAAATAGCATTTTGTTGCCTTTAAGCAACCGACTGAACTCAAGTCGTGCAGCAACACATGTAGACACACATAATACCACTCACAGTCATATATTCTTGATCCGCAGCAAAGAACCATCAGTGCTGTACTGATGAGCTCAGACAAGTTGAGACATCTCAATGAAAAGCATGCATATCTGTCTCATACTGCCCTAGTGGCCATTCCATTGATGCAGTGTGGCAAAAACAGTCATGTCCGTATGTTTTTTTTTCACCAAGTACAGTCAAACCTCGGTTTTCGTTCATAATCCGTTCCAGAAGGCTGTTCGAAAACCAAAATTGTTTGAAAACTGAAACCACGCTCTTTTTAAAATAAAAATGTTTATTGAACACGTCTACTCACAATGTTAAGCAACACGAGGAAGCGTCACTTCCTCGTCTACCCGAGGAAGCGCCACTTCCTCGGGTAAGGAAGGCGAGAGGAGTCAAATGGTGCATTCAAGTGCGCTCAGTTTGTTCGAGAACCGAAATTTGTTCGGCATCTGAGGCATAAAAAACTCGAAATTTTTGGTCGAAAACCGAATTGGTCGAGAACCGAGACGTTCGAAAACCCAGGTTTGACTGTACAATGTAATGGAGTGCTATCTTTCCTTATTAAAATACACATTCTAACACGTTTTGTTGTTTGCATGTAGTAATGGTATTTACATTCATTTTGATGGGTGGTCCTGGAACAAATGAAGCTTTTATCTCAAGGCACTGGTTGATTGCAAATTAGCAACATCAAGCTGAATTGCAGGAAAGCAGCAGGATGGAGCATAGAATGTGACAGCTTGAGTTGTTACTTTTAACTAAATCTCCAAGATTCTTGCATTGACAGGAAAGCAAATCATTCGAGGCAATGACTTCTTGAACATTTGTTTCCATAGATCACATGAAACCTCCAAGTCTTCTTCCTACTCATTTTCATTTGTCAGCTGCACCGCCAAGGTCTTCCGCCTTTGGTCAAAGCGAGTTCCTCAAACAATGGCGTGTGAATGGCAGAGCGTCTGGGACGGAAGGGACGAGACGAGGAGACCGAACCACCTCGAAGACTGCTGGCCTGAGATACCATTCGGGGGCAGACGGTTCCGAGAAGCGGGTCCAGATACTTAAAATGATCTCAGTTCTTGAGGAGATGCATCGGACGTTCAACAGTACACTGAGCACAAGGATCACCTTCCTGCCAAGAGGTTCGCATTCTCACACATCATGTGGCTCTGATCCACATTTGAAAATCCTGAGAACTTTTTTTTTTGGGAGGGAGGGCAAAATAACAGTAACCCTTAATGTTACTGATCATTTATTTCTAGCATGTTTTTCAATGTAAAGATCTCTACAGTGGAGCACAATGCTAGCTGGCACGGTTCTAATCGTAAATCCAAATTCTGATTTGGATCAAGGCCATGTAGCACTATCATTCATGCAGAATCACTTGGAAGATTTATGAAGTGTGTCAGAAAAGTCCAGGATGTCTATAAAAAGATCCGTTTGGTATTTACTTCCTTCATTGCATGAAGAGGAATGAACTTGTGACAGGGCCACTCACAGCTGCTTCACCACGACAAAACCCCCACAGTGCCCTGAGCATCTGACAGTTCCCTGCAGAAATTAACTTTGCCTGGTTCGAGCAAGCCGACTTGTGCACCTGACCTGGCTCCGTTTGTTTTGTTTTGTTTTTTTTGCTTTTTACAAAGCTCAAGGGGGTCATCAAGGTGACCCTTTTCAAAATATGTGGACAAAGTCAAGATTTTTGTGACAAAGAGACTGTGGAGGATCCAAGAAGAATCATTGCAGGAGTGCATGAAGATGTGAAAGTGTGTTTGACTTCACAGGGGTTACTTCCAAATTTAAAATGTATCATTTGGATTTGAAATGTAATTTTTGTGACACCAGTCCTGGAACCTTTTTGACACGCCTCGTGAAGTGTCCATATATATTAACTCATCCAATGCCAGCCATTTATGCTTTTCACAACCCTAGAGTGCTGGCAATTTTAGAGCATTTTGAATGATTTTTCAAGACCCACAGAATATTTTACGACCAAATGAAAGAACAGACTTTCACCAGATTAAAAAAAAACTTGATTTTACCTTCTTCCGTTCTCTAGTAATCAGCAGTAGAACATGGATAAGTGTTTGGAAATCTAGCCACTGTGAGCAAAATCCAGAGAAAAATAGCTTTTTGTTTAAACACACATACCAAGCAAAACAGTGACGTTTATGCAAAGTTTTTTTTTTCTTTTGTAAAACCTCTAACATTTCAACAGTGGTGGAATGATTTTTGATTTTAAAATAATCTATTTCATGAAATATAAACACAGGAGTGAAGCCAACGAAGCATGACGCCTCCATCAGCGGCTGTTCACGATCCGACCTCGTCATCTTCATCGTAGTTCCAAGATCGTTGTACTTTTTCATTTATAACATACACATACTGTATTTCTGCTAATGATAATGACACTTATCCTGTGACATACAGACAAATATATTCCTTGCTTGAATGTATGCTTCAGATTGTCTAAAGTTAACTGTGCTGTGGCGCCATGACAGTTAGTACGTCCTGCCTCTACTGTAAATAGCTGGCAAACAAATGGAATTCGCACTGCTACCCTCTGCTGGTGGTTTGACTGATTGTCATTCCTCAAAGTGCTTGTGATTGAAAGGGCCAGCACATCAGACTCATACCACCAATGAAAAAAAATCATAAAATGACTCAACTCTACCTTGGCACTGAATGTTTTCTGAATGGACTTCTTGGCATAATGGATGAACTGCAATGTCTTCAGTCAAATCAAGCTTGATTGTCAAATATGCTCTATTATTAGCTTCTAAGTAATGACCTGGGTGCTAATAAACCAATGTTCTTTGAGATTGACCTACTGGAGATGATATGAAATTAATTTCACAATGATATCAACAATAACTTTATTTGATTTGTTTATTTTTCTTTTCAGGAAATGCCAGAAATCCAGGGCGAAAAAATAAAATGGTAGGTGACTTTTAATCACGATGCAAATAACAAATGACCGGATTTTGCGCAATCTAAGAAAGTACACTTGCCTCCCAGTAACCCCACTTTTAGCCAAGTCATGGGTAGATAAAAATAATGTTGGGCGGTCTTATGTTCATAAATTGACTATGGTGTCACAATATAGAAATGCACTTTTGCACGTGATGAGTAGGTGTGCACACCACACTAAAATCATCCATCCATTTTCTACTCCACTTACCCTCACGAGAGTGGCAGGCGTGCTGGAGCCTATCCAAGCTGTCTTCGGGCAGTAGGCAGGGTACTCCCTGAACCGTTTGTCAGCCAGTCGCAGGGCACACATAGACAAACAACCATTTGCGCTCACAATCACACCAAGGGACAATTTGGAGAGCCCAATCAACCTGCCATGCATGTTTTTGGAATGTGGGAGGAAACCGGAGTACCCGGAGAAAACCCACATAAGCACGGCTCCCCGTGCCTACGTGGGTTTTCATGCGAACTCCACACAGGAAGGCTGGAGGAATCAATCCCTGCACCTCTGCTGTGAGGAAGACATGCTAGCCAGACGACCACCATGCCACCCATACCCAAATCAAATTTCCTTATGTCCCTTGTATTTTACATATGTCTATCCTTTGCATCTCTACCTTGAGGCATCATAAATAGTTCAGTGTCTATGAAAGTCTAGGATTGGTCCAAATTAAGAGTGTTTGTCCTTTGCAGAGGTCAACCACATTGACAGAACCCAGTTGTAGTACAACCCTCCCTATTTTTGTTAATTGTCTTTCATGGTCTTATGATGAGGCTGCAGTGATGTTGACCACGGTCCTACCAGCAACCACTGATAGCACGGCTTCCAGAGGGAGTGCTGGCGTCGTCGTTCCCAGCCTTACCGGCCGCGCCTCACGCAAGTCGCTTCCACCACAGTCCAAGAAGACCAACAAAAGAGGTAACAAAGGTTGCAACTTTGCTTAATTATTTGTGCGTGTGATCGTTACATTGCTCTGACTTTATTCCATCTAGTCCTGCTCTTAAAAGTGAAAAGAACACAGCTACTGTACAACATATTTGCAATCTGTAAAACCAATATTTGAGTCACAATAGCCAAATGTAAAAGTTTCATCCAAATCCAAAATTTACATCATGCAGTGGTGCCTTGAGATACAAGTTTAATTGGTTCACTGACCAACATAAATAATTGGAATGTAAAAAAGAAAACAATGTGTGCATCACAATTTAATGCTGCCATCCAAGTCATTGTGTTGCTCTGTCTGGTGTGTCCACTTTGGCCACCAGGAGACAGTATTATGCAGTCAAATAGACACAAACCAGAAGTCATCCTTACTCCTGAGGCCCGATCCCACTGAGGGGCGAACATTTGTGACTTTTGGTGAAGGTAGCAATTGCACGTTCACATTAGGGTTCATTCAAGGTTTCAAACGTTCATAAAACATACACCAACAATTTAAGTGTTTTTTTTTCTTGTCACAAGGAAAATTTGAACACAATTCCTGAAGAAAATGCAACATTTGCTCCCTTCCCAAACACAAGTGTTCCCACCCCACAGTGGGATAAGGAGGTTAATGACTCACTAAATTACAGTAATATTAGTCACTTTTAAAGAAGATGCCTTTGAGTAATTAAATATCCATCTACGTGTTGGCTGCCCCACTGTTTGTGGTGAAATATCGGTTCCTTCTCAAATCGCAACTATTGATGCTAACAATAGCATGTCTGTTGTGCTGTTTGCTAGCATTAAGCTCGACTGGTACAGTATAACTCTTTGCTTCATGTTTCCTCCGACAGTAAAATTAAACTGGGAGGGGCATTAAAGTTTTTTTTTAGGAATTGTTCAATATTTGCTTTTTGTGAAGTGTGTTGAACTGAGTCAAAGCAAAACAAAAAAAAATGTGGCCAAATTACCACTTGTATCTCAAAAAACTCAGGTCAGGTAAATCTCAAGGTAGCACTGCAAATTCGAAAAATTACTAAAATCGGTGACTATTCACTAGCCCTCTTGTTAATACAAATTGATGGACAAAAAAAAAACCCCAAGAAGGCTTACTGATGCTAACAAAGTTTGTTAGTGTGACTTCTATTCTCTCCAAGTGTTTTTTATTCTTTTTTTTTCTTCAACAGTGTGCTTCTGGAAGTACTGCTCCCAAAACTGAGCTCCCGCGTAAACCCATTGTGAGCCACTTTTCGCTCCCTTTATCCATCTCCTTTCCTCTATGCATCCATCCATTTGGCATTATGGCCTTTGCTTTGTCCTAGTTACTTTTGGAAAAAAAGAAGTAACTATCACTTGACCAAAGTGTCGTCTAGCTTATGCAAAGTTTTGATTCATTCCCTATTCTCCACGCATCCATCCAGCCAACCAGTTTCCATACCTTTCCTCTGGGCTCGCGTTTGACCTCTGCATGCTAGGCAACAGTTGCTTGGACATCAGCAGGCCACCACGGCGGCGCCAACACCGACATAGACCTTTTTATCCAACTCGTTAATTAACAAAACTGACTGATCAAAGAAGACGATGTGTGCACAAGGCTCAGCACATGGAAAAAAAAAAAAGAGAAATCTCCATTTAATACCACCCCCACCTGCCTACAGACAGATGCACATGTTTTTTTGTGTATGCCTTCTTTAAATAAAGTCCTTTTCCAACATGCCAATGGCAACAATATAAACTGATTTTATGTTTTGTTTTTGCCTTAATTTGTTGCTGAATTTGTGTAATGACTTAATAAACTCAGTCAGTTGACTAACAATACGACAGAAAAGGCAATATGGATCATCGCATTGAGTTTATATGTAATCGCATCGTAGGAATAGTTCAGTTTGCGCTCAATTTGAGCATAGCATTACTGTCTACATTGACAAAGGCTCATGCAGTAAACCGAGTGCTGGATTCCCGGGAAAGAGGCAGATGAGTTTCATACAGAGCATTTTCAAATGGAAGAAAACTGAGCAGCTGTGCAAAATCTGTGGCAAAAGTGTGGCCAGAACAAGCCAGCTGAAGAGGAATCATATAAATCAAAGTTCCACTGTACTGCTAATTTGTCTGAAAGAGAGCTGCAGCTAGCGTGTATCATATATTACTACATTTTTTAAATGAGAGATGCAAGTAAACGTTTCTACACATTTTTACTGTGCCGATTCCGAATCTGACCTCATTTTTTTCTCCAGCTCATAAGCTTTTCATAATCACAATAACACTATAAAACCAATAATCCGTGTGGCAGTAATATTTCTGAATAATTTTTATGAAACATAATTGCTATAAATTTCAATGTATGGTGAAACCCACTTTGCATACGCTTATAAACAGACGGTAAAACTTATACACAAAAAAATTAAAATAGCTCGAAAACCCGATGTGCTAAAAAAATGGGAAACTTTTTTTTTTAATCATTCTTTAAAAATACATCTCTGATTCAAATTTGCTGGTGCCCAGCGTAATCAGCCGAATTTCATGGATGACTAAAGAAATTGGAGAATAATTACTGAGCTTTTGACAATGTTATATTTAAAAAAGATATGTAAATGATGAAGCGATGAGTAAAAATAATGACTGGTCAGGACAGTAATTAGCTGTCGATTGTGACACGTCTAGTCTGAAACATTGGAAATTATTATTCACAACAAATTACACAAGACGGTTTTGTTGTCATTTTATGTCGGCTGGCATTTCAGATGCTCTATTCCAACACCAAACAACCGTTCGGCATGTGGAAGCTTGTTAAATTGATGGATATCCCCAAACAAGAACCCCTCCCCACCCCCGACAAAAACTTCACAATCACTGCATTTGAGATGCGACTTGACATAGTGTTGTTAGTCTTAGCGTCGTAGTAGTAGCTGTACATTCCTCATGTGGATGTTTCTATGGTAACAGATAAGTGTGTTTGCTGTTTGGATGAGTAAACTGTGCTGAATTACTTTCAGAGAGTTTCACTGCCACTGTTGCCTTGGTGATGAGTGTGCGTGTCTGTACATGCTTGTGTGAGCGAGTAGATGTGTTAGATAAACTAAACCATGCCGTAGTCCCCAAATTATTGTATTCTATTGTTTTGTGTAAAAAATAAATAAATAAGCAGGTGGAATAAGTTAGCGTCTAAAAAAAAAACAAAAAACATGGTACGATTTTAGGTGGTAAGTGTCGCATTTGAGTTATTGTTGCAATTATGCTTCGCGTTTCGAGAGCGTCGTGCATTTAAAAGTTGAGCGACGAAAAGAAGCGGCAGAGAAAATGCCAGTTGCACATATTTTGTCAGATTACAAGGACTAAGCAAATACTGGGGAAAAAAAGAAGTTCATCATTTATTAGATGTTTCCATGTGTATCGGTCCAACGTGATCCAAATGTGGTCGACTGACATGCTTCTTGCCTTACGTGCTTTTGCCTTAGCTGATTACAACTTGTCCTGTACAAATCTTGTTGTCTCGAACATAGTCTCCAGTTTCTGTAATACAGACTTTGTAAAACCCTAAATGATTTTGGTATTTTTATTTTAACATGCGACATAATTTTCAACATCACTTTGGAGTGATCCAGGTTAAATACAGTACATAAAACATCACTCTGTGTTGCTCAACGCAAATACAATACATAAACAGTTATCAGAATACAACTATACATTCTTGATAAATATCTGAAACAAAAAGAAGAGATAATGGAAAAACTTTCTAATATAAAATTGTCGGAAATGAGCAGAAAGGACTCTGTGCTGAATTTTTAGCAGAGGGATTTAATACACAAACCCAAATGCCAAGTATAGGTGTTTTCACAGGGAACGATGAAATAATACTTGAGGGATTGAAAAAAATAATAACATAAGTGGGTCACAGGCTAATTGGAGCGAATGGGAGCGCCACGATTTACCAATATTTCACATTTTTGACAGCTCCTTTGTCTCTATGCATGAGGATGCGAATTTGCAATCAAATAAGTGCTCCAGTGTTCAAATGTAACTTGATCTGTGAAGATGTTTTTGATTGAAACAGCCCTTCATTTCAGCAAATACGTACAACCTTCTAATGCAGCAAATTCAACGAATAACTATTTTCAGTTTGTTATCATGAATAAAATGTCTTGATACGTTTCGTTTCCATAATCATTTGGAATGTGGTGTAACTATGATGTGAATGTGTTAATGTTTACTTAATAATTCCCGAATGTTTGGTATAGTTACAAAATATTTAAGGTGTTTCTTTGCCCAGAATGCCACGATGCAGAAGTCAAAAGCCCGTGGCAATATGGGACAAAAATGCTGAACGTAAATCATGCACTGCAGACGTAATAAAACCATAAATTTGTCAAGGAACAATGTCTACTGATTTAAATTCTGAATGTACCGGTATAATGTAGGTCAAATAGTAAAAAATAACTGCTTTTTTTTTTTGGGACTCGGGCATTCGCAAGTCAATACCCCAGGGCATTTTGGGAAATGTTACATTTGTAGCATTTAGACCACAAGTATGTTTAAACGTATTTGTGAGTATGTTTGAATGTATTTGCAAGTACGTCCAAGCGTATTTGTTGAGCATATTCTAACATATTTGCGAGTACCTATTTTCCAGTCAAAATATTTTTACTCCAGATTGGCAGGTCAACACTTTCGCAAACCGAAGCGTCTTAGTTGTCCGTCGATGGTGTTGTCGGTGCCGTTTTGTCTACATGTGCCATAATGGTACCATCGTAGATGCTGTACATTTGATCCTTCAGCTGCCAGAAGTTGGGCCGGAGGTCAGGATCGGCATTCCAACATTTGCACATGGTTTCGTAGAGGAATGGCGGACAAGCCGGGGGCGCCGGCATCCTGTAGCCAGCACTGACTAACTTGTCCGCTTCCGGCCCGCTCAGACCTGCTGAGAAGAGCGCCTATCAAGCTCGGAATATCCCACTCATTGGCACGCGCTTCACTGAGCTCAGCTTGCCACTTGCCTGGGTAGGGCACACCTCCGTAAGTGACCATCTCGTAGAGCAAGACGCCAAAGGACCACACGTCTGACTTGACCGAGAACTTCCTCTGGCTGATGGCTTCCGGCGCGCTCCATTTGTGTGGGATGGCTTTCTGGTACGCGAAATAGATGGGCTCCTGGGCCACCAAATATGCCATTGTGTAACTATTCACAAACACATTTTAATGTGCCTGCAAATGAGTAAACGACGCCCCCCCCCCCAAAAAAAAACTGCCTCCCTCAACATGACACTTCCTGTTTTTTTTCCACCAGGAAAAAAAACTGTTGAAAGTGTAATTAAGTCTATTCACATGCGGAGACAAAACAATGTATATTTAGGTCTTTTATAATAGCTAAGCTATGCTAACAATTAACTGCTCAGTCCATTTGAAGTCTACTGCTAATCTAAACAGCAGTACATAGCAAGGCACATAAATAGTCTCTCTCCACATCGCATTATGTGGAGACAGCATCTTTTCTGTCCATCATAACGCTATAAGATTAATGCATATTGCATATACTGTATATGCAGTACAACGGTTCAGAAAAATAGTAAAAGCATTTTACAGTATATATTTAAAAAAAAACAAATAAAATTTAAATTAATACAAACACGGTCAAAGAAAAACTTAAAACAAACAATACATATATAGAAATGTATAGCTACACATACACATAAGTACGTACATATATCCTGTATGTATAGTTGTTCATAAAATTTTGAATAAGTTGAATTTTGTGGAAAAAAAGGACAAAACAAGGTCTTGCACTCAATGGCACTTATTCACTATCCGCTAGCCCTCACAGAGCCGTGGCCATTTGGCATATTCCAACAATTATTATGATAACAATACTGTGCCGTTATGCTATGATGAGTACAGTAAAGTTGTTGTGAGCACACAGTTGTTGTCTGCACATTATTGGATATAACTTGGTAAAGTTTTACGTTGTGTCACTAACCTTGCTACTCGATGTTGATATGAATAGATTAAGGTTAGCAGCGATTGGAGTTAGCATCAATGTTAGCTTTTGGCGAACGTTGGACTCGTCTGCTAGCTTCCACTGCCCATGCGTGAGCGGTGGCGCCCTACGTCAGCAGAGCCACTAGCAGAAGAATGCTACGTCTGTGGCATGTTGTCAAACATAGATTGTAATTATCTACCAATTATCTTTGCTCTTTTAAATCTGTTTGAGCAATGTGTCCATGATTTATTTGTTCATTTATTTTAATATCCGTATCATTCAATGTTACATGCGTAACAAGGTGTCAGTCAGTCACTTCTGGAACAATACTGTATACTGTACAGACAATCCATGACAGTTGGCAGCTCTGCTAATAGACCATTTGCAATTTGCAAAAAGAAGCAGCACACACCTTGATGACTTGGGTCAGTCCAAAATCGGCCACCTTGCAGATGTAGTCTTCTCCCACCAGGACGTTCCGGGCCGCCAAGTCTCGGTGGACAAAATTGTGATCCTCCAGGTACGACATCCCATCAGCCACCTGGCCAGCCATGTCAGACAGTGACGTCATATCCTGCTGTTGGCCCTCGGGACCTCAACATGAACACAAAGGAAACAGCTGAAGGAATGTGTCGTAATACGGATTCTACAAGTTTATCTTCTACTAGTTTGATGTTATGTGTCAGATGCTACATGGCAGTTGTAGCTAGCAGTAATTAGGTGTAATGGGTCAGCCACTAGATGCTAATAGTTGCTAGCATCTCCGCTGTAATGTGATTGGGTGCTGCAGCCAGGCAGGACACGCCATAGTCTGCTTAGATTAAATGAGATGGTCAATTCAAACATGTATCAGATTGGTAAAAAAAAATTAAGTTAAGGTTAGTGGTATTCATAACGGCACACTACAGTCAGATGCTCCCCTTCTGGCCTGGATGCAGTAGGGCAAGGGTCGGGAACCTATGGCTCGTGAGCAAGGTATATATATATATATATA